TGTTATTGTTATTGTTATTGTTATTGTTATTGTTATTGTTATTGTTATTGTTATTGTTATTGTTATTGTTATTGTTATTGTTATTGTTATTGTTATTGTTATTGTTATTGTTATTGTTATTGTTATTGTTATTGTTATTGTTATTGTTATTGTTATTGTTATTGTTATTGTTATTGTTATTGTTATTGTTATTGTTATTGTTATTGTTATTGTTATTGTTATTGTTATTGTTATTGTTATTGTTATTGTTATTGTTATTGTTATTGTTATTGTTATTGTTATTGTTATTGTTATTGTTATTGTTATTGTTATTGTTATTGTTATTGTTATTGTTATTGTTATTGTTATTGTTATTGTTATTGTTATTGTTATTGTTATTGTTATTGTTATTGTTATTGTTATTGTTATTGTTATTGTTATTGTTATCGTTATTGTTATTGTTATTGTTATTATTATTATTGTTATCATTATTATTATTATTATTATCATTATTATTATTATTATTATTATTGCAGTGATGTAATGTAGGAAAAAGTGTAGGAAAATGCATTGGTCGAATATATCATTGGTAAATACGTATGAACTAATTGATTTTTTTATCTTACGGCCTACAGTCTTTGTTTCGTATAAGCAGGAGGGGTCCAAATTTTCATCGCGCAATGGCGATTATTCACTCAAATACTCTCACCGATTATTCACTCAAGTACTCTCGCCTTTATTATAGATATTACGATAAAAGCGGAGCGTATAATGACCGTAAAGACAGATTAGTAAACGATTATTGGCATAAATATTGTAATTGAATAGTCAAACTCGCCGATCACAGTATCTGGCGATGATTGTATGTGCGGGCTTAAGTTAATCCAAAACGAATTGTAAAATTGAACTTTAAGTCACAGGTACGTGTGTGCGTGCGCGTGCGCGTGCGCGTATGCGCGAGTGCGAGACATTATTGTGCGTTTACGGGGCACGGACGGAAGAAAGTTTCGCTATAAAGGAAAATAGACCGAGACGAGCGTACACGGGCTTGGGAATAGCGTCTAATGAGAAAACCATATTAAAATGGAAGATCGGTACGAGGCTTTATTTGTCTTGGCAATCTCGTGAGATTGTAACTGTGAATGGTGGGTTGCAGGGGACAGCTCCGCATGTCAATGGGCCGCCGAGTCATAGTTCCCTGCGGACTTAGCAGCTGCGAGTTAATTCAATGTTAAATCTCAAGGCGCATCGCGATTACATTCCTACTCCCGATTAATCGCAACGCGACGGTCTGTAATTGTCGATGCATTTCGCAATTTCGCCTTTCCATGTCAGGCTAAGCCGAACAGGCTGAATTTCAATTTTCTATGCTAAAGCTTCAGCGAGCGAGTACAGGACCAACGTATCATCGCGCGCTCGTTTCGTCAATTCTAACAGAGCAAGGCTTCTTATATATAACTAACTACTTTCTCTAGTGTCACTTGCATACATACACGATAAATCTCCCTATCTGGAATAATGCTCGACTACTTGGCTCCGTGAACACTCCGTGTAACTTGATTATTATAGCTCAATTATAGAGTATTGTAAATTCATTGGTATTGCAATTCATTTCCCGATACTTCACTATCTTTGAGCAACAATTGTGTTAGCAAGATTAAAAAAAAAAAGAAGAACAAAAAAATTTAGAGTACGAATTATTGAGAGTAGTAACATTTCGATTGGCCAAACGCACAATATGATTCATATAAAGTAGAATTTTTTTCATCATATTTTATTAAGAAATTTTTATGTCCTTGTAAACTTATTATTGATTAGAATGGCCATAGTTTCCATTCAACCAACTATAATCATTTTTTTTTTAATCTACATTGTTAAGCATACAATGTCATTTTTCATTGGCATATGGTTAAGATAGAAAATATTTATTTATTAACAAAAGCAATTTATCCTGGCAAGAAATTATTTATATTAAAATTAAGATAAAATGGATATTATAAACCATAGAAATAATTGACATTACGGTATCTCATCCATTGATCCTATATTGAACAATTGTCTTTGAATTGTAAAATAATCATTGATTGGAATGGCCTATGAATATGCTTAATTTTTTTTCTCTCTTCTTCCCTCCCCCCTCCCCCCCCCCCCCCCCCCCCCCCCCCCCCCCC